TGTGTGTGTGTCTATGAGTGTGTCACCGTGTGTGTGTGTGTGTGTGTGTCTATGAGTGTGTCACCGTGTGTGTGTGTGTGTGTGTGTCTATGAGTGTGTCACCGTGTGTGTGTGTGTGTGTGTCTATGAGTGTGTCACCGTGTGTGTGTCCCCCACAGAGACCTCGCTGCCCGGAACTGCCTGGTGGGGGAGCAAAATGTGATCAAGATCTCGGACTTCGGCATGTCTCGAGAGGAGCAGGAGTACACGGTGTCCACGGGGATGAAGCAGATCCCTGTCAAGTGGACCGCGCCGGAGGCTCTTAACTTTGGTCTGTGCTCATGACTGCTCTCCTTTTCTCCTTCTCTCCATCCCTCCATCTCTCCTTCTCTCCTTCTCTCCATCTCTCCTTCTCTCCATCCCTCCATCTCTCCTTCTCTCCATCCCTCCATCTCTCCTTCTCTCCATCTCTCCATTTCTCCATATTCTCTCCTTCTCTCCATCCCTCCATCTCTCCATTTCTCCATCTCTCCTTCTCTCCACCTCTCCTTCTCTCCATCTCTCTTTCTCTCCATCTCTCCATCTCCCCATCTCTCCATCTCTTCTTCTCTCCATCTCTGTGTATGTACTCATATGTGTGTCTGTGTGTATGTGTCTGTGTGTGTACTCATGTGTGTGTGTACTCGTGTGTGTGTGTACTCATGTGTGTGTCTGTGTGTGTGTACTCATGTGTGTGTTTGTGTGTGTGTACTCATGTGTGTCTGTGTGTGTACTCATGTGTGTCTGTGTGTATGTACTCAAGTGTGTGTGTGTATGTACTCATGTGTGTCTGTGTATGTACTCGTGTGTGTACTCATGTGTGTGTATGTACTCATGTGTGTGTACTCATGTGTGTGTATGTACTCGTGTGTGTGTGTACTCATGTGTGTGTGTGTGTATGTACTCATGTGTGTGTGTACTCATGTGTGTGTGTGTACTCATGTGTGTGTATGTACTCCTGTGTGTGTGTACTCATGTGTGTGTGTATGTACTCATGTGTGTGTGTACTCATGTGTGTGTGTACTCATGTGTGTGTGTATGTACTCATGTGTGTCTGTGTATGTACTCATGTGTGTGTGTGTGTACTCATGTGTGTCTCTGTGTGTGTACTCTTGTGTGTGTGTATGTACTCATGTATGTGTGTACTCATGTGTGTGTACTCATGTGTGTGTACTCATGTGTGTGTAGGTACTCATGTGTGTGTGTATGTACTCATGTGTGTGTGTGTATGTACTCATGTGTGTCCCTGTGTGTATGTACTCATGTGTGTGTGTATGTACTCATGTGTGTGTACTCATGTGTGAGTATGTACTCATGTGTGTGTGTATGTACTCATGTGTGTGTGTGTGTGTACTCATGTGTGTGTCTGTGTGTATGTACTCATGTGTGTCTCTGTGTGTATGTACTCATGTGTGTGTGTATGTACTCATGTGTGTGTGTGTACTCATGTGTGTGTGTATGTACTCATGTGTGTGTGTATGTACTCATGTGTGTGTGTACTCATGTGTGTGTGTGTGTGTACTCATGTGTGTGTGTGTATGTCTGTGTGTATCTGTGTGGGTACTCATGTGTGTGTCTGTGTGTTTGTACTCATTTGTGTGTATGTCTGTGTTTCTACGTGTGTACTCATGTGTGTGTATGTGTGTCTGTGTTTGTGTACTCATGTGTCTGTCTGTGTGTGTACTCATGTGTCTGTCTGTGTGTGTGTACTCATGTGTGTGTCTGTGTGTGTGTACTCATGTGTCTGTCTGTGTGTGTGTACTCATGTGTGTGTGTACTCATGTGTGTGTGTACTCATGTGGGTGTCTGTGTGTGTGTACTCATGTGTCTGTCTGTGTGTGTACTCACGTGTCTGTCTGTGTGTGTACTCTTGTGTCTGTCTGTGTGTGTGTACTCATGTGTGTGTGTACTCATGTGAGTGTCTGTCTATGTGTACTCATGTGTCTGTCTGTGTGTGTACTCACGTGTCTGTCTGTGTGTGTACTCTTGTGTCTGTCTGTGTGTGTGTACTCATGTGTGTGTGTACTCATGTGAGTGTCTGTCTATGTGTACTCATGTGTCTGTCTGTGTGTGTACTCACGTGTCTGTCTGT